GAAAGGAGCGGGGGCAATTTGACGACGACGTGAAATGAGTGTTCGACGCGAACTTCGAAGCCGACAAGTAACACACATTTTTTAGTCGTCCTCCTCCCGTTGACTGGCCTGGGTCCGACTGTACATGGGCGCCTGGTTGTACGAGTCGCGATCACGCCCGTTATTGGGCCGCCCCTTCCCTCCTCCCCCCATGTAACGTCACGATTCGTGCTGTCGCCGTCTGGGATTGGCTTGGAGCAGCCAAAATCCAGACGGCGCCGGCGCAAACCGTGACGTTACCGACCATTATTTTCCCCCCTGGGTAACGGCCGTTGTCGCGAGAGGGTAAACGGCAGGCTCGATTTGCGGAGCAGCAACAGCGACACGAATGCGCGAATTTCCTAAAGGGGTGTGAGACAGAAGCGGGAACCCATATGCAGGTACCAGGGGGTAGCGTAACCAGTCTCAGGACTCCAGCCAGGCCCAGCATGATTGCTCGAGGGGCACTCGCGTTGCCCCTCGAGGGTGGGGAAATTCAAACAACCTTCATGGAGGGAAAATGTGCACCGCAGTATCCACAGCGTTCTAAGACCGCATGGGTAGCGCAGCGCCAGCGTCCCATGACGATGCAAACATCGCACCCGCGTGATGGCGCAATTCTGGGGGCTAGGCCCGCAGCGCCGTGGCGCTGCAGCGTGGTTGTGCCGTCTTTGAGCTGCTGGCCTGGCAGGGGGCCTCTCGGGGGAGCCTTTGGGGGTGGTGGATCCTCCAGGGCGTCGGGCCGGGGCCGTCTTCGCGGGTCTCAGAAGGTCTTCGGTCGGGTCGCCCCCCCCTCGTGCCCCCTCGTGTGCAGGCGCCGTGGCGCCGAGGGCCGCTCCGGCCCTGCCCGCTGGCCCCTCGTTGGCCTCGCCTGCTCTCGAGGAGGCTCTCGGGGGGGGGCTCCGGTCGGCTGCCCCCGTGGCGCGTGCCTCGTCGTGCCCCGCGGCGCGGCTGCCTGCACGTTCCGAGCACAGCGCGTCGTCACGGCCACTCCGCAGCGCGGGGTGGCCGTCTGCATTGCCTGTGTCGGTGCTGTACGCACGCCGGGCTGGGGGCAGCACAGGCACTCCACGCCTCGATGATTGTGTGTGAGTGTGTGTGTGAGTGTGTGTGTGTGAGTGTGTGTGTGTGAGTGTGTGTGTGTGTGTGTCAGGGTCGCTCCTGGATGTACCGCCCGCTCCTTTGGCCGCGCCGCCGGGACGCCAGGCACCCAGGCATCGTCTCCGTCCACGACGCGTTTGCGCACCGCTCCTGCTTCTACATCGTCATGGAGCGCCGTCCAGCTGGGGATGCTGGTGCGGCTTCGGGCTGCGCACTGACAGCCCTCCCAGGTAGCCTCAGCGGTCCTCAAAAGGCCCCCCGAGTACAGTCGGACCGAGGTATAAGATCGAGGTCGGTTCGGGGAGGGTGCCCTAATGTTCTTCGTGTTTGCTGGATGCTCTTGTGCATTCTGGGGGAGGGTACCCTCAGTGTTCTTCATTTTGGCCAGCGGAGGGCCTCATGCTCTTGAAGGATGTTCTTCTGTCCTAGGTCTGACTGTAGTACAGGGCGGTCTCAACACATGGGCGCCGCTGGAGGCGGTACCAGGGTGATGAGACCCGCCCAGACTTTTCGGGGCGCCGACATGAGACCAGCCAGCAGTACACGGATGGGCTGTCGGTGCTCGGCCCCAAGACTTACCAGGCGATGCCCATTCCCCCCCACAGATCGTGGCGTGTCGGCCACGTGCAGAGGGTGGCATAGGGGAGGGGGGAAGGATTTTTATATCGGGGAAACGTAAGACCCGAGTACGCCGGAACTCGGGTTTGCCGACGCTTTTTGACGAGGGCGGCCCGGATTTTGACGGTATTTGTTAGTAGAATGTTTGCAAAGGGAGTTCGTGTCTAGTTTTAGATTGGGTCTCGTCATTGTCATGCTGGCCCTGGCAGGCCTACGTAACCGAGTCTTACGTCCCCGATTAGAAGCACCCCCGCTTCTTATACGGTGCGGGCCATGTCTGTAGATGTAGGGCCAGCGCCTTCAAGAAGAAGCTTCCTTCTAAGACGCCTTCCCCACCCCCCCTACTCCCCCTTGTGCGCGCCGCCGAGCGTGATACCCGACTCCGAACCAAAGCTCCGGGTCAGTCTCGGAGGTCATCGCGGAGATCGTGGCACCCTCAAATGGGAGCAAGGTGTTCGTTCAGGAGTGGCGTGTCCCTTCACGCCCCCCCCGCTCTATGATGCAGCCGTGGCTCAGCATGAGCTAAACGGCGACAGCGAGTCGTCAGCGTATGTCCAACGTGGGCAGTCTTTGTGCCGTAGTCAGAGGCCGAGTGCCGCGCAGCCCACAGAAACGCCCGAGCAGCCGACGTCGACATCGTCGACCGCGGCCTCGACGACGACGACCGACCGACCGAACGATCGACGACGACGACGACGACGACGACGACGGCGACGACGACGGCGACGACGACGAGGCCGACGACGACGGCGGCGACGGCGACGAATGACGACGAGCAAAGCCGACGGGCATCGACGACGGCGACGACGAGCCGACGACGAGCGCGCCACCCTCCGAGAGCGACGAGGCCCTCCCGCGCGCGGGGCGCGCTCCGTGCCCGCGGGCGGCCGCGGGCGGCCCCCGCCGCGGAAGGGGAGGGCTCTGGCTCCTCGGCGACGCCGTCGGGAGAGCCCCGCGGCGGCAGTCGGTGCCAGCGGGCCGGGAGATCCCGCGCAGAGTGATGTCTGGGGCGCGGTGTTCGGGGTTCGGGTTTTTTTGGGTTTTTGGTGTTTGGGGTTTGGGCTTTGGGCTTTTGGGGGTTTGGGTTTTTTGGGGGTTTTTGGGGTTTGGGGTTTTTGGGGTTTTTGGTGTTTGGGGTTTTGGGGGTTTGGGGTTTGGGGTTTTTGATGTTTGGAGTTTGGGGTCTGGGGTCTGGGGTCTGGGACGTGGTGTCTTGTGCCTGTGGCCTGGTGTTTGGGGTTTGTGGTGTTTGGCCTCTGGGGCTTGGTGGTTGGGCTGTGGCGTCTGGGGTTTGGTGTGTGGGGCCTGGTGTTCGGGGTTCGGAGAAATCGAGACGGGGGGTTTTAGCCCTTGTCGGCCTCTAGGGGCCCTCGCTGGGCCCGGGACCGTCAAAAATGGATTCGGGATGAAAATCCAGTCCCGGGGGAAGGGGTCGAGACTTCTGAGGGCCCCGCATTGAAAAAGTCACGACAACGGAGCTCTGGGTCAGCCAGAACGCATGAGCAGTCGAAGGGGGGCCAGCCCGGCAGCAGTCTCCTGCGAGTTCCAGTTTGGCGCCAGCCCGGCGCGGCCGAACCGATGCTGATATTCTCAGTACGCGGCCTTTTGGCTTTACGTGTGCAGCCTATTTCGTCAGGGCGAGCCAGATTGCATCAGTTGATGGATTGCCAAGTTGGCTGCGTCGCCAGATTGGCCAGATTGTAGCGAGTGCCGGGACCCTGCAGTACTAGGGTTGCATCAGCCTGGGCATCTTGCAGGATCCTGCGAAGCCCGACTGGCCAGGGTCTGGATGGACCCGGGCCAGTATATCCCCGACAACGCATATCCGCATCCGCGGCGTCGCGGGCCGAGCCCCGGGTCCGCGACCCCGCGGATGCGGGGCGTTTTTTTTCGTTGTTGCTCCGCGCGGGAAGCATCCGTGCGACCGCGGCGTATCCGTGGGATCGCGCCCCCGACATCCAAATCGCGAGGACGGGGGAATGGAGGCTGCTTTTCCCAGCCATCCTGTGGTGTAAGGTCCTCGCTTTGGAGAGACAGCGCCACGCGTTCCTCCTCCTCCTCCTTTTCCACCTTCTCCGTGGCGCGCGCGGTCCGTCTCTCGCCTACGTGTTTGTGTATCGGTTTTCCGTCGTTGCCTGCTCCCCTGGCGCGCGTGTCGGGTACGTCTCTCGCCTTTTTCATCGCCGCGGTAAAACTCAACAGGGGAGCCCGCGCCGAATCCGTCCTTGTCTGTTGGCGCCCACCCGCTGCCGACAGGGCGGCCTGGGGCTCGAGGAGACTCGTTCGCATCTGGGGTGCTTTTCTTCACTTCACTTCTCCTTTTCCTCCTCCTCCTTCTCCTCTCCCTCCTCCCTCTTCCCATACTTGCCTCTGCCGTCCGCACGTCCACCACTTCAGCGCACCCACTACAACGCTTCGTAGCCCCATAGGGCCGAAGGCCCCAGTGGCTGTGACCACATGCGCCCCGCGCAACCCAGTAGGGCGTTTCGGTGCCCCATAGGGATCTTCACCGAAAGCCCCAGTGGTTGTGACCACGTGCGCCCCGCGCCACGCAGTAGGGCGTTCCGTGGCGCCATAAGGAGCTCCACCGAAGGCCCCAGTGGTTGTGACCACATGCGCCCCGCGCCATCCACTAGGGAGCTTCGTGGCGCCATCGGGAGCTCCACCGCAGGCTCCAGTTGCTGTGACCACATGCGTCCCGCGCCACCCAATACGTCGCTCCGTGGGGGGTCCTCTTCTCGTGGCCTGCGGCCATCTTGGGCCACCCTCGGGGCCCTCTCGGGCCGCTTCCGAAGGCAGCCTTGGCCCTCTTGGCGGTGCCGTGTCCTGTCTGCCTGCCAGGGCACCTCCTGGAGAGGCTCGGGGGCGCGGGCCCGTCGCCTCTCTCCGGAGCAGCCGGGGCCTCCGGCGCGCGGGCCCGTAGGCATGTTGCAAGGGATCGCGGTGTCTCGGGGGGGCGGAGGGGGGTGATGCACACACATACCAGACTGCGACGAGAGGCGACGCGAGAGGATGGGCATGCGCTGCGCCTGTCTGCGACGAGAGGGGGGGGGGCCTTCGACGCCGCCAGAAGCCCTTCCAGACAGCACAGGGAAGGTTATACCACGCCTCCACGTGCCAGGGGGCACGGTGACGGATTCCACGAGGGTCTCTCGTGAGGTTTCAGGTCTGTGTTGGAGCTATCTTGGGCCAGCCTGGGCCGTGTTCGTACCATTTTGGCCAGTCTTGGGTCCTTGGTCAGTCTTTGTGCAGTCGTGGGCAATCTTGATCTCCCTCGGCCGCCAGGGGGATAGAACAGCAGCCGAACCTATCCGTCTTAGTGTGTGTGTGTGTGTGTGTGCTCGACATTGGTAGCACGGGGCGGGATCAGTCGTAGGTCCAGGTTGTTCGTGATGGTGCGTGATTGTTGTATCGATTATGCCAATCCTGTCATTGTTCCCGTGAGTTGTTTTCGCAGGAGTTGGTACGTGGAACCGACCTGGGACGACGCTTGCAGAGCCAGGGACGTATGCAAGAGGCACGGCAAAGGGCCTGATGCGTCTTTTCTTGGGATCTTGCTGCGCTCCAGCAAGTGAAGAGACTTCGTTACCGAGTGCCGTTTTGGCAATGGACATCGCTACAAACTGCTGAGACATGGTGTTGCCAATGTGGTTGAGGACATCTATACCAGCTTCGTCATGGCAGTGTATACCAGTTTGGTCATGGGCACTTGTTTGGCCAGAGCCCACACCAAGCATTGAGACCTTTGCAGCCAAAACGACCAACTCGACAGGAGCGAATGCTGCCAGGTAGAGCGTTTTTACTATATTGGTCCAATCGGCTTCTGGCTACAAGGAAACATTCATGCAGATTGTATTGGTCGAGTGGTTTCGCCAAACATTTGATCCTCGATCTTCCGCCGTCACGGAGTTCTCTAGAAGTCCCAGGAGGTCTTTAGAGAGTTCGAGAGGTTTTCACATCCCATGTACACGCATATAAATGTATGTACATACAGTTTATATCTTCATATGTTTATATAAATACATGTAATTATACATCCATCCATAGACACGTGTGCTTGTACGTAGGTATGAATGCATTTATGTATGCATACCGGTAAACGTACATATATGCATGTGCATGTAGTCATGTACACGTCTGCATGCATGTATGCATGTCGGCACGTATGTGTGTCTGTGTGTATGTGTAGATGCATGCATGTGTGTGCATGTATGCCGGCGTGTGCGTGCAATTGCATGCATGCATGCATGCATGAATGCATGTATGTATGTATGCATGTATCGACAGATGCATGCATGCATGCACGGTTTTCTGCCTGTTTGTCTGTCTGTCTGCCGTTATGTCTGCATGTAGGTCTGCATTTAGGTAGGTAGGTCGGTAGCCATGTACGTGTGCATGTATGTGTATGTATGTATGCATTCAAGCATGCCTGTATGTATGTAAGTAGGTGTGTGTGTGTGTTTGTATGTAGACATGCATGCATGTATGTATGTATGAATGTTCGGTCGGTGCATGCATGTATGTATGTGCATGTACATATGTGAGTACATGTGTGTACGGGTGTATACATGTATGTACGTATGCATGCATGCATGCATGTATGTATGTATGTATGTATGTATACGTACATCGATACATACGTGTGTATGCATGTGTGTATGCACGTACGTATGTATGTATGTATGCATGCATGTATGTATGCATGTAGGTATGGATTCATATATGTATGTATTCATATATGTATGTACATGTGCGTAGCACCCCGCAGATGCGGTCAAGAGTGAGCGGGCGGTGGGGACGTCGGTAGTCTGCGAGACTCTTGAGAAGCCCGCCGCAGGCGCCAGCGTTTCACAAATTACACGACGAGCCCGTCGCAGGTGCCGATTTTTTCTTCAAACCAATGTGGGTCGGTCGCGGGTGGCTCGCGGGTGGCTCGCGGAGTGGGTCGCGGGTGGGTCGCAAGTGGGTCGCGGGAGGGTCGCGGGTGGGTCGTGGGTGGGTCGTTGGGTGGGTCGCGGGTGGGTCGCGGGGTGTGTCGCGGGGGGGTCGCGGGGGGGTCGCGGGGTGGGTCGCGGGTGGGTCGCGGGTTGCGTCGCGGGTGGGTCACGGGGTGGGTCGCGGGGTGGGTCGCGGGGTGGGTCGCGGGGTGGGTTGTGGGTGGGTCGCGGGGGGGGGGGGATGACGACAACAAACAACAGCAACAGTAACAACAATAACAACGCAACAAGCAGAAACTTCACCACGGATTCTCACTTCAGCTACGCACCCAGGGACAAATAATGATTGTGCGGCTCCTTCACTCTGATGTATGTACATATGTGAATGTATGTTTGTACATTTGTCTGCCTGTCTGTCTGTTTGTGTATGTATGTCTGTATGCCTGCATGTCTGTATGTATGCATGTCTGTCTGTATGCATGCATGTATATATGTATGTATGTATGTATGTATGTATGTGTGTATGTATATATGTATGTATGCATGTATGTATGTATGTATGTATGTATGGATGGATTCATGTATGTATGCATGCATGCATGCATGTGTATGTATGTGTGTATGTGTGTATGTATGTATGTATGTATGTATGTATGTATGTATGTATGTATGTATGTATGTATATATGTATGTATGTATGTATGTATGTATGTATGTATGTATGTATGTATGTATACATGCATGCATGCATGTATGGATGTAATGTGTGTATTGTTTGTGAGTTGTGTAATGTGTGTAATGGTTGTAATGTATGTAGGTATGTATGTCTGCCTGTGTGTATGTATGCATGCATGTATACATGTGTGCGTATGTATGTATGTATGTATGTATGTATGTATGTATGCATGTATGTATGTATGTATGTATGTATGTATGTATGTATGTATGTATGTATGTATGTATGCATGTGTGTACGTACGTACGTGCGTACGTACGTATGTATGTATGCATGCATGCATGCATGCATGTATGTATGTATGTATGCATGCATGCATGCATGCATGCATGTATGTATATATGTTTGTATGTATCGTGCGCGTGTATCTCATCCATGTATCGTTTGGCTTTTTGTAGTATTATATCGTATCGTACCATACCGTGCCGTATCGTATCGTATCGTGTGTCCGTATGTAGAAATACTGGCCTGCCGCCCATCCCGCCACCGTGCCTGGGTTGTGGGTCACAGGACTCTTGGATACTCGCTGGGATGTCGTGGGAGGCATCTCGGGGGCCTCCTGGGGGCAGTTTTGAGGCCTCTTGGCGGCCGTTTGTGCTTCCTGGGGGCGTTGCGTGGGCCTCTCGGGGTTCTTCTGCGGCCTCTCAGGGCCTCTGGGGAGCATTTTGGGGCGGACAGCTCGAACTTTCAGTGCGGGCTCCCCCTATGGGGCCCCACTTGGGGCAGTCTCAGGGCTCTCTTGGGCCGTCTGGAGCGCCTCTTGGGCCGTGTTGGGGCCCTCTTCGGTGCTTGTGGGGCCGTTCTGGGGCGATCTTTGGGGGCCTCTTGGGCTGTCTTGAACGCCGTGAGGCCGAAAAGTTGTATATGCTAAACGTGTTCGCGTTTTTTAATGGATTTGGAAAATGTTTGCTTCTTTGGGCCCTTTGGGAGGCCATTTGGGCCTCTCTCGGGGCGGCTTGGGCGCCTCTTCAGCCGTCTTCGGGCCATCTTGGGAATCTTGGACCGATCGTTCGGCCAGTCGGGGCCCTCTTGGACCGTCTTGGGGGCCTCTCGGGGCCCTCTTGGCCCGTCTTGGGGCTCTCTCGGCTCCGAAAGAGTCGCGCGACAAGACGCGGGGAGCCGCGGGGCCGCACGCGGGACGCCCCCAGGAGACTTGCGAATGCGGGGCCGGGGCCCTCAAAGAATCTTCAGGGTTGGGGACTGATGTTCGGGTGTTGAGCAAGGGACCCGAGGGCACTCCACTCTGCCGTTGCAGCGATGGACCTGACACGTACCGTTGATCGATCGGTCCGGTGCGCATCGTTGCCCGGTTCTTGTTCTAGAGTCTCCCTGTTCCGGTGCGCATTGGATTGCCACATCGATGCGATACCCTTGTTGGTGTGCGCTCCAGTCGGATTCGGCATGTTGTGCGAAGGCGATTCAAGAAAAGTCGAATCGGACAGCGAATGCGTACATCTTGACGGGTGCATCGTGCATGTCGATGATTTTGCAGAGTGCAAGCTTGAGGCTACCGCCCTGGAAATCTTCACACAGGCCCCCAGCTTGAACTCTTTCTGCTTGCTTGTGTAGATCAAGTGTTTGCAGTCTTGGCCAAGCATGGTATATGAGGGGAATGTAGCAATATTGCAATAACCAAATGAGAGTTCAGAGTGCGACGTGCCATTGCATACTTCGCTCATGCCCCCACGTGATCAGAAACGACGCAAAGAGGGTTGCGTCGCTCGGAACATATCCGTTGTTGTAGCCTCTCCGGACTTTGTCATTTCCTTTTGTTCCTCATGCCGCCTTTGCATTCTCCTCATGCTCCTCCATCTTTCTCCGGCTGCTCTCCCCAATTTTCCTCGCCAGTCCCTTCTCCTGTTACTCCTCTCCAACCTCCTCTCGATTCCCCTTCTCCTTCCTCTACCGCTTCCTGATCCTCCCCCTTCTCCTCCCCGTCCTCCTCCTCTTCCTCCTCCTCCTCCTTCTCTTCTCTCAAACCTGTCCCTCCAATTTCCCACCCCCTTCTCCTGCGCCCCCCCGTCCGTCTCCATCGGATGGCACGCCCGGGAGCCACAGATGTCGTCTCTCACGACAGTGGTCCCATTAGGTTCGGAGTGGGCATGCGGTTAAGGGGAGGGCGAACAGGTCGGCACAGTGCCACCGATCACGCCGTTCTGAGACGGATGGGCGGATGACCGTCGTGGGAATGCCAGGGGGTGGTGCAATAGATTTGGGGCAAGTGTATTACAAATGTATTGCGCCAGAGAGAATTGTATTGCATTGTACTGCAACGAAAACATTGCACGCGGAAGCCCAGCAATACATCTACGCACTGGGATGTATTGCACGCTCCAACTTTCTTGCAACCCCACAATTCTATTGCACCAAATTTATTGCACCATCCCCTATGCCGCTGGCCCCCCTCTTGGGTCAACCAGAAGTGAGGGGGGGCGGGGGAGGAGACGGGGGGCGAGGCCGCGGAGGGCAGAAGAGCGGCGGTGACGAGGGAGGGAGGGGGAAGAAGCCGAGGGAGGGAGCGGACGGGGGGGTGGGGGGGGCGGCGGTGAGGGGGGGAAAGGAAGGTTCGAGCTTCTTGGACGTCTCTCGCCCCTCGCAGTCCTTCAGGACCCCCCCCTTTCAGCCGCCACGGCCACGAGCTTCTGGCCAGAGCGCATCCCGCAACAGGCCTGGGGGCCGTCGACTACACGCAAGAGTGACCCCTTTCCGGAGTGACCCCAGACATGATCGCGTCGTAGCAGAAGTAACGACGGGAGGTTTTCGGTTGTTCTCGGCTTCTCGGGGCCCTTCCTGGGCCCCGGGACCGTCGACAACGACCCCGGGGCTTGTCAGATCTTGAATTTAGAACGCAAGCACCAGGTTATTTACCATGTGATGCAACGATCTGAGAACAAGAACGCATTTGTGTAACAAGCATGAACTTCCTCGCGCTCTTGCTCAACGCATGTGAATTGAAGTACGCAGCCGCTCGCATCCCTGGGACCGATTCTTCATCCTGAGTCGACTCAGGATGAAACATCGGTCCCAGAGAAAGGGTCGGACTTCGGGGACCCCGTATTGAAAAATTCAGGACGTCGCATGTCTGGGGCCTTCGGTATGCGCCCCCGCTCCCAGACCCAGGACACTGCAGACCTCCCCTCCCGTACGCCGAACCTCCCCCCTCCCAGACCCAGAACCTCCCCTCCCCTGACCTGCCAGGGGGGCCAAAAAATTGCACCCGAACCTTGACGCCTAATTTCCAGTCGAGGATTCAAGCAGTCCAGGTAGGCCTGGTAGGTCTGGAGGTCCATTTTTGGCAACTCCTGGAAGGT